GGAGGCTGTCGAAATGCCATTGTTAGCGCCCCCTCAACAGAAAGGGGAAGGACTTGAGATGGCCAACAGCTGTAGATCTGCTCTGGATAATATCCAACAAGAGCTAGCGACGCTCTTGGGTAAAACTGACTCACGATGTCAGAATTCTACATGCAGGATCATCTACGGCCTGTTCAGTAAAATGGCAGGAATCCTGAATGCCCAGGAGGTTGAGATAGCCTCCCTCCGGGTGGAAAACAGGACCCTACGGGAGTTAGTAGGAGGCTGACAACGATCGAAAACTCTTCTTGAGAAAGGCAAGGTGCTGTGCACAGACCGCATAACCTATGCGTCTGTAGCAGCTTGGCCGGCCCAGCATATCCAAGAAGGGCCACGAGCAGTTGCCAAGCCGAAGAAGGTAGTTGCCACAGAGCACATGCTCTTGGTCTACCCAAAGGATCAATCAATGAGCAGCGACCGTACGTGGGAGCTACTCAAGTCTAACATTAACCTGGTTACGTTGGGGATTGGGATTAAAAATGTACGACAGATCTGCAATAACAGGGTCCTGGTAGAGGTTTTGAAGAGCCAGGACGTCGCTAAACTGTCAAAAGCAATGACAGAGGGCCCACCAGCGCTGAGAGGTGGTCATCTGCTGACTGCCCCAAAAGTGCCGGCCAAGGGTAATACTCTTTGATGTCAGCCCAGACATCAAAAGCGAATGTCTTGCAGAAACCATCTTATCGCAGATTAGCATCGAGGCAGGGCCTGGGAAACTGTTGCCTTGCTTCCCTTTAAAAAGAAAGGAGGGCCTCGCGAACTGGGTGATCGAGGTCTCTCCCATGGTCTTCCGTACTCTCCTGCAGAAGGGGAGAATCCATGTGGGTTGGATGTGCAACCAGATGAGGGAGTATATAGCATGCACCCAGTGCTACAAGTGCTACACATTTGAGCATGTAGCCAAAGGCTGTACGGTGGACAGCCAAAAATGTAGCAAGTGCGCCAGTGATCACTCGTACAAAGAGTGTAAGGTGACGGAGCCCAAGTGCATTAACTGCACCAGGGCCAACAAGAAATTCGGCCTGCAGTTGGGTACCGGTCATTCAGTGATGAATGCCAACTGCCCGTGCTATGCACGGGAACTCGAGCGAGTTCAGGCCAGGATGGACTATGGTCCGTCATAATCAGGGAAAACGACTTTGCGTTCAGCTCTGTATCTCAACATATACCAGAGACGAATGAACGACGTGGCTGCAAACTATTGCAGTTCAATGCCGAAAAGTGCCGTGCAGCAACTGCCCAACTGCAGGTAGAAGTGGTTGAGTGGGATATTGACATCATCCTGCTCCAAGAACCATATCTTGTACAAGGAAAAATTAGTGGCTTATCACTACAATGGAGTGTTTTTGCCCAAGACGGTGAAGAATGTCGTGCTGTAGTTATCTTTACACAGAGGAATGTTGACACATTTGCTCTCTACGTTTCGCCACTTGTGGTGGCCATTGGAATACAGCTGTCTGCTTGCACGTGGGTTGTGGTCTCCACTTATCACACGCTATCACTTAAACTGGGAGGCCTTCTGACTGTACTCGAACGGGTTGTCTTGTTCCATGGTCGGGTAGTTTTGGCAGGTGACTTTAACGCCAAACACTTTTTAACGCCAAACACTTGCTATGGGGCTCCCCAATTGATGATCCAGACAGGGACATGATGAAGGAAGCGGTGGAGAGTTGGGGGATGCATGTCCTGAATGACCTGTTCTGGATTGCTACCTACTCCTCTCCAACAGGTGAGAGCTGGATAGACCTCACGATTGAGAGTGGGGCTATGCTTAGACTGACCTCGCAGTAGGAGACTATTGTTTCAGAAAGCTGTACCGGCCATCGTTTCATCATCTACAAAGTGATGTGCAGCTCGCCAGAATGGCTGAGTAGTTGCTACAGACTTACTGTCAAAAACCACAGTCAATTTGCCAAATGCCTCACAGAAAAGACGGCCGATATAGTCACCCAAGTCTCTAAGGTCGAGAGTGTCAGGGATCTGGAGGAAGTTGTGGCCAACCTCACCGAAGCAGTCAGAGAAGCAGGAGACTGCACGCTTGTGCAATGAAGACCCAACAACCACCGGTCAGTTCCCTGATGGAGCCAGGAACTGAGTGTCCTGAGGAAGCATGTGAAGGCGTTCCAACGACACTTTCAACAATGCAGGAACGACGACCTTTGGGCTATTAAGAAACTAGAATTCCAGAGGGCCAATGCCAAGTACAAGTACAAGTTGAATAATGCTAAAAAGACTCCATGGCTCAGTTTCTGTCAGTGTATCTGTGACGAAAATCCATTCTGTCTTCCATATAAACTAGTGGCAGGAAAGCTAAAATGTAGCACAGTCTTGGGGTCCAGTAAAAGGCCAAATGGAACCCTAACCTCCACACAGGAGGAGTTGATAGAGGTGCTGCTTTGTTCGCAGTTCCTGTGCAATGAGCAGTCCGATGATACCGAAGAACAGTGGCAGCTATGAAGTGATGCGGAGTTGCCCGTTCTTGAGGTTGAGATGCCCATGCCAGTGACTGACTCTGAGGTTGCCCACACCATTGGCAACCTAAGGAAAGGGAAAGCACCTGGTGTTGATGGGATCACGGCCAAAATGGTACAAGTTCTGCATCAAGAACGTCCTAACTGCTCTGTATACTGTATCAGAAGTGTCTACTCCTAGGACATTTCCCAGTGTAGTGGAAGCAAGTGCATCTTGTGTTTATTCATAAGAGTAGGCACCCGAAGAAAGAACCTAGGTCCTACAGACCGATCAGCCTTTTGTCAGTCCTGGGGAAGGTTCTTGACAGCATCCACAGTGACAGAATTCTGTACCACTTTAAGCGGAAAGGGCTGCTATACCGACACCAATATGGGTTCCGGCCGGACATGTTGACCTGCAGATCATTACATCAGACGGTCAACCTGGTTTACCAGAACCGCTGGCAGGGCCTCCATATGTCGCTTGTTTCGATGGACGTCGCGGGGGCTTTCGACAATGTCTGGTGGCCATCCATACTGGGTGAGCTGCATAAGGCAAACCTGCCAACCTCCCTTGTAACACTTTCCAGGAGTTTCCTGAGTGGACGCACAGTGGTTTATCAAACCCCAAGCAAGAGGTATGAGAGGATACTGGAAAGGGGCTGCCTGCAGGGATCCTGTATAGGGATATGTTATGGAACATTCTAGCAGATATGCCTACCGGACGATGTCCAGCTACAGGCTTATGCAGACAATCTGTTGCTAGTAGTTGCAGGCTACAGTAGATGTGACATGTAGAGTCGCGGCAACGAAGCAATAGAACAGCTTGTTTGTAGGGGAGAACTTCACAAGCTCTCCTTCAGCCCTGAGAAATCAGAGGCCCTGACGGTGGCCCGAACTGGAGATAGCATTCCACCTTACATTACCAACTACATTGGCACTACCTTTCTTCCTCATCCGAACCTTGAGATCTATACCGATGGATCTGGACTGAATGATGGCGTCAGCTGCGCCTTTGTCACCTACCAGAGTGAGACCGAAATATACAGTCAAATGAACAGGTTAGACTGTGTTTGCTGTCTTTCAAGCAGAGCTGATGGCAATTAACTTGGTGATCAGTTGGACTGAGGAAAATTATAACCATAATAACATCCACATCATTAGTGACTCTGCATCCACAATACAGTTGATACAGGGTAAGAAACCCCATCCAATTGCAACTGCTATTAGGAACACTATTTTCAACTCCAGTAACAAGTACAATATTACCTGGACTCGTGCACATCATGGAACAACTGGAAATGAGCGTGCTGACCAGCTCGCTAAAGAAGCCGCCAGCAACAATAATCTGGAAATTATTTATGACAAAATTAGTCACCATGGTGTGAGAAAACACATGTTCCAAGACTTTCTTAATCAGTGGCAAACAACTTGGAGTCAAAAGCATAACAACACCGCTTTCAAGTACATTCCCAACATTATTGACTATTACAGCTACCATTAGGTTACTCCTAACCACCAGCTTACTCAGTTTATCACCGACCACGGCAAATTCTCCAGGTATTTGCACAGGTTCACCAACAAAAATTCACCACTTTGTGCTATCTGCTGCAAACCAGATAACTCAGACCACTATCTCTTCGACTGCATCTCTTTGGAGGCATTGCGTCTGGCCATCGAACTCGCTGCTGGAAGTAGGAACATCCACTGGCCATGTGAACACAATGATTTATTAAAGAATAAAGAACTGTATGAAGCCTTCAGTAAACTCATTAAAAGACATGAGGCAATTGCTCCTCTTGCTACCAGAGACTAGTAAAGACCTCTCTACACTGGACTATAATTTCTCAAGCAACTCTCCAGGTGTTCTCTGTATCGAAGGAACTTATTGCTGCCATATACTCTCTGTCAATAATTCATGACCATTTATTGTATTTAATCACCTTCACACATGTTCCTTATTCTTCTTATTTTTGTATACACATCAACTGGACCACTTTACTTTGTGCAAATTTTCTGCAGCTCCCTGCTGCCTTTCTTTCTTGTATCCATATGCACATATTCTGTTGGTACATATTTTCTATCTTTGCTTTGTCACTACTGCAATTTAGGTATAATCCTAATCTTAATTAATTATTTAATTTTATTATAATATATTTATTTCATTGTTATTGTCAAAATTTATCATTATGTAATCTATGTAATCATCATTCATGTTGTATTTATCTCAGCTATGCTATGCGGAACCAAGAATGTATTTACCACATATGTTTAATAAAGATTAATTGATTGATTGGCCCGAACTGGAGTGTTGGCACACCAGCCAATATACTGGATTAGGGGTAACCCCATCCAAAGGGTGAACAAGTTAAAATACCTTGATGTTATCATCGACGCCCCATCTGAGGAATGTTCGAGCAGCATTATCGAGGCTAGCCAGACAAGACTAGTGGAGAAGCGCTTTAATCCATCTACAAGATGAGTGTAGAGTGCATTATCTGCTATGCCTGCGGTATTTGGTGGAAGGACTCTGCTAACGTCAAGCAGAGCAGAACATTACTCACAATACAGCAACCTGCCCCCTATGGATCTCGAGGGCATACAGAACTGTGTCAAAGGAGGCGGCCATGGTCTTGGCCTGGCTGCTCCCATTGCCTCTGGTAGTCAGCCAAGAGGCAGCCTTCTACCAGACAACAGTAGAGGGCAGAGAGGCTAAGCATTGCAATCAGATGTACCCGGTCAGACTCAGACATCAGACAGATGTATTGAGGGTCCACCCTGCCTATAGGATTAGACTAGATTGGGATGTCGGTGAACTGGCAAATATAGGTGTTGAAATATACACCAATGGCTCAAAAGACGATAGCTCAGTAGGTACTGCGTTCTGCATCTACTGCAACGGAGTTCACATGTACAGTCAGTCAGACAGACTGAATGAGGAGGTGTCTGTGTTTCAGGCAGAACTGGTGGCCCTGGCGGGGGCATCCCAGCAGATCCTATTACACCTGGGTTCTGAGCCAGTCACAGTCTACTCTGATAGCCAGTCATCACTTCAGGCCTTGAGCGACGAATACCATCACGATCCACTGGTACACGAGTTCAGACGTAGGGTACTGAGGGCAAGGCATGAGCGACACGTCCTGCGGTGGGTCCGAAGCCACATCAGGATCCCGGGCAACGAACGTGCCGATCAGCTGGCAAAGGTGGGAGCCAGCGGCCCATTTGTAACAAGGATGGTAGAACCCTCGACCACATACATAAAAGGTACCCTGTTACGGCGATCAATGACACACGGATAAGAGTGCTGGAATCAATGTATGGTAGGTAGGTCAACCTATGCCTTCGTGCCTGAAGTTCGCCGAACTCCAGTTAGTTGTGACTTCAGACTGACATAAATATTGACAAGTCACGGGAGGTTTCCCTACTTCAAGTCCAAGTTTGGACAAGGAGATGGTAGCAGCCCCTGTGGGTGTCCTCGCAGCGACGCGAGACACCATGTACTTGACTGTCCTCTGACAAAGGACTTTGCCTAGGGGCCGACCAAGTTGATTGGAGCAAGCCCCCGGACAAGTACTTCAAACGCTAGCAGCTAGTAAAGAAAACTTAAAGAAACTAAAGGATTTGATGGGTAAAGTTATAGATCTATTAGACCAATAGGGCCCCTCATTAGGGAGAGGACCCCACTGTCCGTTATTTTTAAAAAGTTATTACTATGAGCCAAGTTTTGTGGATTTAGTGCAGTACAGGCTGCACACTATAAAAGTTATGCCAGGTTAGAGAGCTGGGCCGTGGTGTGGATGGGAGCCCAAAAGATGTACCTTGTGGCCCAGCTATGTTGTCCCTGTCTACTGTGTTAGGTATCTGACCAGCCGATGAACAAGACATAGCCTCTTTAACCCTGTAGTGCCATTAGGCGGGGCAGAGAAAGAGTTCCTTATGAGGCACCAGGTGTCATCCAGTTGTGTGTTCTGTTAACAGCATAGCGAATGTCATGTATGTTTATTTCAGCACAGGGCATAGTTGGTATGTTGTGCAAGTTTTTGTTCTCCTCCTTGATCCAGCCTGCATCAGCATTGTGTGTAACAGCACTGGACCAAAGAGAANCTAAAAAGTAACCAATGTGCCAAGTGATACTTTTACATCAAACTAATAAAAGCCAAAACTTTCAACGCTGGAAGAAATACTAAATAAAGTTGGAGTTGAAACTCAAAGGATTATAGACCCAAATGAGGAGAAAGGAGAGAAAGGACAAAAGATAAAGAAGTGAGGAAAGTTGGAAAATTAAGGGTCCATATTTGCATAACAGAAGGTCTATTTAAAATTTCTCATTACTTTTTATTACCCTTCCTCATTCACACATTTCTATTTGAAAATATTTTTTTCCACTCAAAAATAAATTATGTATAAAGGTTTACAGCTTTGTAAAACTTTTTTTTTTGAATTTACACCAAATAAATAAATAATAATAAAAATTGTCGGTTTTGTGTCGGTATTGGGCCGCATTCGAACTTGCCTTGCGCCGCATGCGGCCCGCGGGCCGCGGATTGGACACCCCTGATCTAAAAGTTTCTTTCATTGTGCACTTCACATTTAAAGAAAATAACGTTAAATTCTTTTTTGTTAAAATTTCATGCTAACAATATGACAATCTGACAAAACAATTGGCAAATTTCACATTATTGAAGTGCATTCTTGGTCTTTCATCTTCTGAAAATTTATAAAGTGAATTTATAATTTGGACCATTAATTCTATAAATGCAACCAGAAAAAGTAAGTGAAACGTTCGATCTGTTTTATATGGCATTGTTATTTGGCGACCCTTGTTATTAATAATTGTAAAAAATGATGAATTTAGAAATTTTTAGTCATATCGAAAGAATACATATACTTTACTACTATGATTAGAAAGAAAGAAAAAAAAATATTTTTGAAAAATAAATCGAGTGTTAATAATATATAATAATTTACAGAACGAGTACTTTTTACAGGATAAAACAAAGACACATGAATGTACTTTATGTGAACAGAAATGTCGTACAAAATGGGAGTTAGATAATCACATGAGGTCTCATACTGGTAAGAAACCGTTTAAATGCAATATTTGCGGAAAAAGATTCTCACAGTCTGGAAATTTACTAGTTCACAAAAAAACACATTTTGAAGAAAGACCATTCAAATGCAACTACAAAGACTGTACATACAGTGCGAAAAGTAAATATGTTTTAAAAGAACATGTCAAACGAATACATCTAAAAGTAAGAACTTCTGAACTTATTATTGAATAAATATATAATGTTTACTTNTCAACACAGGGCATAGTTGGTATGTTGTGCAAGTTTTTGTTCTCCTCCTTGATCCAGCCTGCATCAGCATTGTGTGTAACAGCATTGGACCAAAGAGAAGACCAATAAGTTGTGAGTTCTTCTTCTGTTGGTGTGCCACTGTGCTGTGTATCAATGTTTGTTTTGGTACTAATTTGTCTGTAAAAGCTTTTTCCGTTGTTTGTAAATAACTTATTTTGTTGTTTTCATAGTGTACAGGTACATATTTTGTATAATTTGAGTCTATATGCTTTGGCTGCACATTTCTGTTTTAGTATATCAATGTATTCTGTAATGTGTGTGTATTGTGATGTTTGTGTTTTGTGTGTGTTTTGATTTTCTTGAAAATGTTTTTGAGTTGTTTCTTTAAATTGGGTGTTATGTTGTTTTTAGTGTATTGTGTCAGCCTGCCTAATTGCTGTCTAATGTCATTTATTTGTGTTTCTATTCTTNAAAAATTGTCGGTTTTGTGTCGGTATTGGGCCGCATTCGAACTTGCCTTGCGCCGCATGCGGCCCGCGGGCCGCGGATTGGACACCCCTGATCTAAAAGTTTCTTTCATTGTGCACTTCACATTTAAAGAAAATAACGTTAAATTCTTTTTTGTTAAAATTTCATGCTAACAATATGACAATCTGACAAAACAATTGGCAAATTTCACATTATTGAAGTGCATTCTTGGTCTTTCATCTTCTGAAAATTTATAAAGTGAATTTATAATTTAAACCATTAATTCTATAAATGCAACCAGAAAAAGTAAGTGAAACGTTCGATCTGTTTTATATGGCATTGTTATTTGGCGACCCTTGTTATTAATAATTGTAAAAAATGATGAATTTAGATATTTTTTGGTCATATCGAAAGAATACATATACTTTACTACTATGATTAGAAAGAAAGAAAAAAAAATATTTTTGAAAAATAAATCGAGTGTTAATAATATATAATAATTTACAGAACGAGTACTTTTTACAGGATAAAACAAAGACACATGAATGTACTTTATGTGAACAGAAATGTCGTACAAAATGGGAGTTAGATAATCACATGAGGTCTCATACTGGTGAGAAACCGTTTAAATGCAATATTTGCGGAAAAAGATTCTCACAGTCTGGAAATTTACTAGTTCACAAAAAAATACATTTTGAAGAAAGACCATTCAAATGCAACTACAAAGACTGTACATACAGTGCGAAAAGTAAATATGTTTTAAAAGAACATGTCAAACGAATACATCTAAAAGTAAGAACTTCTGAACTTATTATTGAATAAATATATAATGTTTACTTTTCGATATTAATTGGATAAATATTTATAACATAGAATATTTTAAATTTATTAAATTAAAAATATAAAGTATAATATTATAATAAATTATAAAACAAATTAAGTTATTATAAATAAGAGGGGTACTTAACAGTGAAATATTAAAAAATATGCTCGTTATTTATTGTTCTTAAACAGCGTAAATATTAATTATCAAATAACTTCTTTTTCAGTAAACGTAAAAAATATGTACACAATTTTAAAAAAAATTTACAAGATACATTACAATTTCACTTTAGTTTTAAAATACTAATATATCATTTTTTGAATGTGTAATAAATAGCTAATGTAACTTATAAATTATATAATACTTAGATTCCAGCAAAAAAACCGGAGAAAGTTCATAAATGTCATAAATGCGATAAAAGTTTTGAATGGTTATCTACTTTGATAATGCACCAAATATCCCATGGAGAAAAACGATCCTTCTTATGTGATATTTGTAAGAAAATGTTCAAATATAAATGTGACTTAAAAAGACACATGAAGAAAGTACATCAACAGAAACAAACCGAAACTTTTCCCAAAGTAAGTAAAAAAAATTTCTGAAATTAAACTTTCAAAAATTCCTTCAATGATATAATGTGAAAAAAAGTTATGTAGGTCTTAAAAGTTTTTTAAATTGTTTCTCAGATTTTTTACGTGATTACGGTAAATATTGATACTTTTATTCTGTAACCTACATTTATAAAGTAACGCTGCATTGTTCGTTTAAAGTAAAGTACAGTAAAACCCCTCTAATCCGTCACCTTTAGGACTGTGGATATGGTCGGAACGCAAAATAGGTCGGATTATCAGGAAATAGTAAAATAAACAATCTTCCCCTTTGTCGTCTTTGTAGCACTGCTAATTTTTCATTTAATGAAAGAGTAACGTGTTTACGTTTCACTGCTGACATTTTGAAAACACACACAAAACTGTACATGTACACACAATGTAAAACATATACTGTAACGAACACAAAAGAACGCCACAGACGGTGAGTCACCGACGAGTCGGGACAAGTTTCACGGTCGGAATAACTGGGGTGACTGACTAGCCTAGGGCGAACTAGAGGGATTCTACTGTAGTAATAGAAAACAAAAAGTAATTATTGTAAGTTAGTACTTTCAGTCTTTCGATAATCAGCAGCCATAAACCTTAAATTTACTTATTATAATTATTTGTAATTAGTTTAATTGTAGCAATTGTTTCGAAATATATTTTTCTTTACATAAGTTTTTCTACAGTAACAATTTCAATTTAATTAGTGAAGTTTTTGAATTTTAGTACCTGATTGCTAATTGGTTTTTCGTTTCTTTTTGGTTCTTTGGAGTTAAGCATAAAATTGCTATGGAGAACTTATCATACAGAAAAAAATTTGTAAGATGGAAAAGTAGATTTGTTTGTTTACATATTATACTAGCTTATTCCGTTGCGCATTGCTGCGATCTCAGAAGAAACGAAATTTAAGCATACTCGTTATAATAAAATTTAATTTACATTTTATCATTTTTATTGAAACTTATTATTATTATTAATTTTCATCGGAAAACATTTCAAAGTGTCGTTTCAATTCTATTTATTTATTGGAGTGCTTGTGGATACGCGATATTTTTTGTTTTTCCGTCTGGTGCGTACACGAATAAATCAGGTTTTCCGACACTACATACAGTTGTCCATGTGAGAAGCACGGATTCTCCAAATTTAGCCCACACACTCGCAGAGATTGTCAGAAGTGCGATATTCCCCATTTTTATATATATATTTTAAATTCTTTATAATTTTAACAATTTAATTGCTCCTTCCTCTCTTCCTTGGCATGTTGTGAAATTTCTGATAGTTGGATAATAAACCGTTTTATTCTAATTTGTCTTTTTAAATTATTTTGAGTCGATATTAAAATTTGAAAAAGGAGGATACCTGTATCGGTAAAATAGGCGAATTTCCTCCTACAACTTCGGTTGTTGTTCAGGATACGGTTAAGGTTTTAACCAAGTTCGAGCGAATATATAATTAGCAAAAAAAAAAAAAAGTTGAAATAAAGTAATTAAACAAAAATTATTATAAATATCGTAAATAACAGTTCACAAATGCATATATAGAGATATCTTTTGGAGGGGGAAAATGGTCTTCACAATTTGAAATCGATCGAACACGCTGTGCTTGTTACACTCGTATACACGCGCGCCATCTATCGTAGGATAAATGTACTATGCCAGAAACCTTCGCGGGAGTATACTAAACAACTTCCCAAAGTTTCACGGCAATCGGATAAACGGTGTGATAATGCATGAAGGACAGACAGACACACACATATACATTCATTTATATATATATAGAAAAGCAAATGCATTCTGGAATTACATGCTGCTTTCAGTCTTAATTTTATGGTATATCTACTTAAGATATCAGTGAACACATTAATACTTATTTATATTTTACATACGCGTGAAACTCACAAAAAGCTTAAAAAATAATTATCTATAGTATAAGTAATGGTAACTAATAACGTAAGGTAAAAATAAAAAAGGAAAATAATAATAAATATATAAATATAATAATTTAAATAAATACAATAAAAAATAATGAATAAGCAGTACAGATAATTTTTCATTTTGAAAAAATTATTGATCAACTCAGCAATTAAAAATTTTTTTACAAACTTAGTTCCTTGTTTAAAGTGACACTTCATGTGCGTCACTCGGAGGTAACGAGTGAAACTCGATCATTGGGCTCAAAGTACTAAAACTCCGGGTATGTCATGGGTTAACCCAGGAGAGACCCCATTTAAACAGGAGGGGACAATGACAACAGAGGTTTTTTTCCTGTCAGCGAGTGTGAACTTTTATGTGCGGGTGTGCGTCCCACCTTTGCCACTTCTAAACAATTTCTTAGCATCTGAACTTAACCGGAACTTGCATTAGCTCCGGAACTTTACCGAACTTGAACCCGAACTCCATTATGTAAGTTTGCCGACTGTAAAGGGAGATACAGTTTATTTCGCGTCAAAACGAGCCTAAGGGAAACAGCGTACGTGGGCGGTGGCGAAGGAGCCAAATGAAGAACATGTGTTTTACAAGAGAAAACCCTGTTTATTTGTTCGAATTCATGCTTACATCGATATTGAACAATTCCAAAATCTCGGTGCTCCTGTGAACGGCGAGAGTTCGGGTGATCGGTCGCAGCCTGGGCAGACGAGAAGGATCACTGGACGATGCAGATGTTCGGTGTTAAGCTGTGGCGTCCTAGGTGATCGGCGGTGCACAACACAATCTAAATCACAACTGTAGGCTTAATCCAGAGGAGAATCTTCTTCGACCTTGAAGTTCCAATTTTTATAGTTTTTTCCTCTACTATTCGCATTTCGGATTGGTCCCTCGTCCCATTCCTCGCTTCCCTATTGGTCTCTCCTTTGTCTCCAGGTGCAAGACGAAACTTTTTCGGGTCGCGGGAAAGGTCCGATTCGAGGTGTCCATCTGATACCTCTTGGTCGACTCTGCTCGATGACTGTTTATAAAACAATAACACTTGCACTTAGAACTCAGGCCGTTGTTTATACCATTTTTGACGTCTAAGAATTTAACGATCATTCTCATCTTTCATCTATCAAAAATTTCCCTTTTGTGTTCGAAAAGGTTTATCTCGGCCAACATTTTATAGACACGCGAGTCAAAGATCTACCTGTTTATGAGCGCTCGTGTTAGAGTTTGTCTTCCTCTAAGACCTTAACAGATAGATTCACACATATTCGAACTGTTCCGAGTCTCGTTGTTTACATCTTGTGTCGCGCAAGAATTTCACGGTATACTCGAGTTCGAATCTCGTCTGGAAACACACAATTAAATCCTGAACCTCTTCGTACGGCCTAAAGACGAACTTACAAGATAGAACTATTCGAACTCCAAGTATTTGTTGTCGCGCGGAAGTTTTGTAAGCTCTCTCTCCTGATATGATAAACTCCCCCTTGAGGTTTACTCGAGTTAGCGAGAAAGCTAGCTCCTCAGTCTTAAATCGTGTAAATAGCCTCTCTGAATAAACGAATATTTGTTAAATGAATAATTTTTGGGAGTGTACTTCTTCCGGATATCTCCCTCCATCTCCATTCCAACCCTAAGGCTCAGCAAACGCGACCGTTTGTGCGTACAAGACGGAAATTGCGGCCATCTAGGTTTCTGTGTCTTCATCAGGAAAAAATCACTGTGTCTTCTGGGTAGACACAGTGGATTTTTCCTGACGAAATTTGTCATTGCGGTCTTTTTCGACGCGAAGTGGATTCGTCGGTCCTGCGGTGCCAAAGCATAGGGGGTGGTTCTTTCGACATTGTCACAATAGTATATTTTTTTACACTGTTAATTTGTTAAAACTTGGTTAATTGTTTTCTCTGTTTTTAGATCAAAGCATTAAGCTGTAAAAACAATGCAGCTAACATTTCCCCTAAATAAAATTTTACATGTTTTATAGGTCAACATGTTTTTAAAACCGTTCAGCAATAAGTATTCTTCGAAAATTTCAACTTTCAATAGTAATCTATAAAAACCTTCTTTCTGTTAATGAGCTATAAAATTCTTCTTTATACGTTTATTTTTGTTTATGCTCTAATCGGTCATTTATATCATGACTGAATCATTATCAATCAATGAGCATTCGTTCAGATCTGTCGGTTCAGGATTTTCTGGCGAACAACCAACGTTTTTAATAGTCATATGCTAGGAGTGAGAACGTACACAAACAATGAGAAAACCTATTTTCATCATATTCAGCTATAATTTTACTAGATTTCATGTAATTCGACTTTACATAGACTAGAAGATATTTTATCAAGACAGCTTCCATTCGAGAAATTTACCGGAAAACTTATTACATCTAATTATTCTGATACTTTCGTAGTACATAACAAATAGTCGTATCATCGTTCATATAATACAATAACAATCGCTTATTATAGTCTTATTATTGTAAAAAATCGTTGAATAATATGTAAAGTGTCTGATATGCACAATTTAAAGCAGAAAAATATGTTTAAGAACTTTGACTACATTACTGTAGCCACACCATTTCTGCAGTTATTCAGGAAAAGAGAAGCACTAGAATAAACAAGGCTGTAACTTTACACCCCGAGACTTCTGAGAGGTGCAGTTTGTGTCATACAAAAGAAAACATCACCGGACATTATATAACTACAATATAAAACTTATCATTTTAATTTTTATAACGTTTAAATATTAATGTTAATTTAGGTTATAATATTAGATCAAATGCGTTTAAAATAAAATAAAAGATAAAAATAAAATTAAAAATATTCAACAATCTGTATGAAACGATCGATGTAGACAAATAAAAAAAAACAATACAGATGAACGAAAGGAAACGTCATATGACATCACTTATCTGTAAAAATCGTACTGCGCAGGTCTCAACTCATTATGAAAACTTTGATTTTGCATGTGCTATTAAATGGCCTACAGAAGAAATTGCAGAGTAATAAAAAAAGAATGAAAAAGACACTTCATTATTTCGGATCCAAAGAAAAAGTGTCCGAAACGATTACATTCAGATAGTACAGGTAATAAGAAAAAAAGAAAACTCCAACTCCACATCCCAACTCCAGAAGCACAACACAAGAGTGGAGCAAAACACGTGCCAGAAATTAGTGCCGATGGCAAAATCACCGTTGCCAAATAAAAGGATGTAAAAGTGTATGAGCTAGAGTGTACTGTATGAAATTCAAAACACATCTGTTTCTTAGCAAACTTTGCTCTCGCTTCGTATAAAAAATAAATTTCGTACAACTTTGGATCTTTTTTGGTCCAATCTTCAGTCACTTGAAAGAAGATAAATATTATGTTTTTGCATTGAGTAGACCAAAAAATAAACGCATTTAAACAAGGCTGAGAAACTGTTGTTCCCAGTGCGCCTTACCGAGAGTGAATTCATATTAATCTAAACATATAAAACAAGCTCTACCCGCACCTCATGAGAATGCACACTAAGAAGGGATTTTTGGAAATTCCTCTGCGAGGGGAGAAGGAGAAGGGTAAATTCTAACTTGAAGAACAGCTTCTACTATACTATTTTAGATTTGATTGTTTGTTTTCAACTACGTTTAGTCTTTTAGTGTATTAAATTAATAACATTTTAAACATTGTTATGAATATTTTGATATATTACAATTTTTTAACCAAATGTTTGAACCGTTTTAAATTGGAATTTGTTATTGCGTATTGGTTCGATTATAGGAGCATTGTAAAAGTTCCAGAAAATTGATCAAATTGAAAATAGTTCCTTTAATTCTCACCAATCTCAGCGGTAGGTCTTATATAACAATTACTATGCTTGTTAAAATACTGAATATAAATAAGGTTTGCTTACAAAATCTGTGCAAAGTTGTGGGTAGGGTAACAGCTAGTATTGTATATAAAGATTATCGTGTTAACCCATATTCCATCAAACAGAAAATAACAATACTTTACTATGTAAAAGTACTCAATTTCATTAATAACAACAGTAAATTAAAAAATAAATTAAAATTCTTTTTTATAAATTTATCTTCAGAAAATGAATGTTTTAAATGATGTTGTTGACTTTAATTATGATCTGAATTTATAGTGATAGTCATTTTAGTTTAATTAACTGAATTAGATTATATTATATACTTTTTTGAATTTTTAGACAAGCGTTGAATATTCTCAAGATGTAGAATATGGCGTGGAACAAAAAGATCGGAAAGAATCAATGGAAAAACCATCAACGAATGATCAAAAATCTCACTCAGTAGAATATGAAAAAGTTGTCGGGGAAACCCTGAGTAGCGATTCAGAAAATACTGGAATTATGAATAGAGACGAATATTTAAACATGAACATTTACTGGAACATTTACCGGAATTAGAAATATTTTCAGAAGTGATAGTTGAAGAAGTCGAACTAGAATGTCACATCTGTCAAGAGAAATTTGACAACGAAGTATCTCGTAGAGAACACGAAGCAAGATTTCATTAATTTGATTAATGACTTCTAAATATTAATTTGCAAAACAAACGATTTGGTAACGATTTTACAAAACGATTTAAATCTTGCATTTATTTTTCATTTATTATAAAAATATTTTTGATTTTTTGCATGCAGAAAATAGAATAAATAATTACGTTTTGTAAATCTCTTTGTTTTTAAAATTGAAATTAAAAAAAAAAAAAATATGAATAAATTTGTGTTGTACTCATTCATTTTATGCAAGTAAGCAAGTTATTAGAAATACATTTATAATTTTTATAAAGCCTATCATCGTTTTATGTCCTTCAATTTATCTGTAGTTGTATATACTTTTGACCGAATTAACGTATGACATAGTTACTATCTCTTTACGTATGTATCGTATTTACATTTTTAAACACTTTCATACTACTTCAACAAAAAGAAAAAATGAAAACGATTGAAAATGCATAAAATTATTTTAAAATAAGGACAAACAACTCGAATTGCTAATAAAAAAATACAAAAATGTTGAATTAGCTCACCTTATTTCAGAAGTTATATTAAGTTTTATATGAGAAAATCTTGTTACATATTGCATACAATCGTGTTTAGAACATTTTTGTACATACAGATGTTATTTAACACCTATAGCCATCCATAAACGTTGTTTAAATACATCGTCTTTATAAATGACACTGATGTGGTCGAACTGATTCAATAAACTTTTGTATTTCATTTATTTTTCGTTTTTTCGAGACCGTCACAATTGTAGGATTAACTCTCATTGCCGCCATTGTTAAAATAAAAACCACGTGTCTACTTTGACGTCATAGGAAAGACTTCTCTTTATTGGAGGAATTTTGGCGTAAAAGTTTTTCGGCGTAAAAAGTAAAGACATGCTCTACTCTAATTTCAGTTCTGTTTCAGCAAAAATTTCAGAAAAAGTTTTACGTTTTCTGTTTTATGCTAGATTTTAAGCCGAATTTTGCTCGTGTGTGTTCCTCGCCTTACAGATCGATCTTGCTATGTTTTTTATATGCAAAAAAATTCCTTGCTTTCAGCATTTACTTTTTATACAACAATTTTTAAGACGATGCTGTTTTTCAATCTACAAAAGAAGATTTTTGCTTGTCGATTAGTATTAAGATTAAAGCAATATTTGGGTTCACATATTTACATGCACTGTATAACGCGCCTTTCATAAAATCATTGTCTACTGTAGCTTTTTATAGATTTTCCAACGTTTTGTGACTGGACGAAATAAACCTTCAACAATATATATTAAGAATAAGAAAAGTTTGTAGGAATTTATAATGCCTTTTTATCAACTGACTTTGAACATGTTTCTAGACAAAGGAAAAAAAGTATTATTTGGAATGTATTTTCTTAGCATAATGTTGCTGTTGAGAACATATCACACAGGAACACTTTCAGAGGAAAAAGGTTGTTTTATTGGTGTGACGGATATGCATTTCGGGCTTTAATTCCCCTATTCAGTCCTATTATTACATATTTATCAGTAAATTGATTACAGGTTTACAAATTTACAGAATGCATTGAAAAAATTAGGATACGCTTACAATGATTTTTATAATAACACTTAATTACCTGAGATAGTGACAGATAAACCAACATGACTAGTAAGAAGATATACACATAGTTTAAAATGGGGGGCAAAAAGGAGCTAATAGTTTTTTTGGCTGCACACACATGCACATTAGAATAGTATAGCACGTGCTAAATAAAATAAAAAGGGGTAAACTTAGCTCTAAAATTAAGTATATATTAAGAGGTGTAATTTTTAAAAATAATAACGGAATACCTGTATTATTTGGAAATTTATTTATTCAGCTACTCCTTCGTAGAGAAAATTTGTGAATATGATGGAACAAGGTTAAAAACAGATTTGTGGCCGGCGAATCTTAGTCTTTGTCAGGACTGACACCAGTATAACCTCTGTCAGAGCTACGGTTGTTACGCGAGCGGTCGCGGATGCGGGCAGATGGAGTGAGAAACAGCACACCGGAAGTGACTCAAGCAGAGACTCTGTTAACGTAATAAGAGTTTAATGGGTACCGATGGACTATACATCTTTTACATTTAAGGTTAATTAAGGTTTTTCGATGGTATAATACGCGAACGAGAGAGAGTTTACAATTGCAGCGTGGCGATAAATACCTTGAGATTGGGTAAGTCTTTACGAGGTTCAACAGTTCCGAATCAGCGACGTCGATAATAGTTCCAATAAGAGGCACTTAGTTCGTTGGGTATCTGATGAAATAATCCAAGGAGTTGGCACTTAAGACGTTCGTAAGTCGATGGTTTATAGGTGAATCCAAGAATATGCACTGAACGATGAGTTGAAACTAAAACCTTCTAAGGATCGGGTGAAGACGGTAACACATAGAAAGAACGACGACGACTGCGACGAAAATCGGTTTGTAGCTATATTCATTTGACAACTTTGCAGTAATAGGTCGGAAGGTTATGTGATAACGTCCTTTCGCGACTGAAAACTTGCTGAGTGATTAACTCCCAGGTGTGAAATTTGATACTTAATCGATAAAAAAAGTATTGTTAATGATTTAGGTCAGGCTATAGTTTAGTAAACACGGCTGAATCTCACAGATTCTTGGATTTGCTTGCTTAGATTATGTAAACCGTCATATGTGATTGTGAAGCCATTTTGAAAACAGACTTCTTATAGTCATGTCTACTGATTCCCAGATTTAACTTTTTAATACCAACGTAAACACTAGTGTTGTAACGAATAGTATATTCGGCCTCAGACCGAATACCGAATATTCGGCCAGGAGCGTGGCCGAATAGCCGAATATTCGGCCAAACTATTCGGCTCGATTATCGCACGTACGGAAATTGGCGCGCAAACCGCATTATGGCAAGAACCCCACTCTCTATTGGCCCGGTGTCACTACGCCTCGCCAATCGCGTTAATTCTTGACAGTTGAAGCGGACAGACATGAGCATCATGGCAGTATGTGATAAGTGATGATATCAAATGTGGATAACAATGAAATGTCCTACACTTGTAAATAACGGAAAAAGAACAGAGAAGGACCGCGAAGTGAAAACGTGAAAATAAATATGAAATTGAGTCGATAACATAATCGAACGAGTCGAAGTAGCTTATTGGCGCGAAATTCGCGGCCGTCAATGCCAAACAATTGTTGTCATAGACTTCGAAAAGCTAAATTCTTGTAATGAGAGTCACTTAGCGTGCACGGGCGAAAGCCTGGGGCCGTTCGGGCTATCAAGCTGTCTCGAATCTGTGAAATCATAACTGTGACTTATATCGACGTCCTATCTGTCTCTTTTCTCCGTTATCATCAGGCTGAGTCACGTAATTGTAAAATGGGAACTCTACGACGGAAAAGTGACGAATCGAAAGTATCGTGAGCGCGTATTGTGATGTATGCACAGGCATACATGGATTAGAGCGATAGAGGAAAGAGAAAGGGAAGAGCAAAGACGAGCGCTTAAAAAAAAGGACAGGCAGGGTCAGACCCTCAGATGTGTGAGGATACTCCAACGATAGACGTGTACGTGTGCTGATCTTTGTAATTATAAATTGTGAATACATGTGACTAATATTATTTTCTTTTTTATTTTGTGCATGTTGCAAGTTATAAATAAATATAAACAAACAACACTAACTCTATAACATTAACTCTAAATACCAAAATGATTAATTTACTGTGTTTTTGTTATTTATTACTCCTGTTTTTAGGTATTCGAATAGTGAAAAATAGGCCGAATAGGCCGAATACCGAATAGTAACCGAATATTCGTTACATCACTAGTAAACACAAATTATCTAAAACGCAGATTACGTTACGTACAAGAGGTTCGTGAAGCACTTTAAAAAACATTGAAAATAGAATATTCAGTAGTAAAACGGTGTTGCGAACTAAGAAAAAATAGTAATAAAGATAGTGTTAGCGTTACAGCTAATACCAAGTATTTGTTAGCAGTGGCGATAAGGAAGGATTATGAGCTGAATTAATTGAATTATTGCCAAGTGCAGATGGAGTAAATCGTGCTAGAATTAGTCTCCTTATTCTTTAAAAATTTTTTCAAATCAGCAAGTTCCCAGAAGTCAAATGCTTGAAAATTCTGAAAAAGAAAAAGAATTTTTTCAGAAACGATGTTTTTAAACTTTAATAGAAGGATAAAGCAACTTAACGTACTGTAAATTTTGGAAGCTTTAACGAGCTCACAGTTAAACTACATTTGTTCTTAAACACGAAAAACATGTTTTTTGGAATACTGTACTATTAATTTAGATATATATTACTGCTAACTATTGTAAATTGACTTTAATAATTACAACATAAATGGAAAATTGTGAGAAATTTTCAGTTCTTTGACATAGTTTGTTTAAAAATCGTGGTTATATGATCGCGTTTATTTATGTATATGTTGGTACTCACACAAGTATTTCAAAGTTCTTAATAGACAAAAAATGTTAATATATTCATTTTATTTTATGCATCATTATATTATGAACGATTTTTTGTTTACTATGAGAACGTATGTAAAAAACTTTTTGTTTAGTGTTCGAATTATGAGAAAAATTAGAAGAGTTGAGAGAAAACGATAATAAATCGAAGAACCTTTCTTAACATTTTATATGAATGACATGCATTTCGAGTTTATGTAGCAATCTCATTCGGTCTATGATCTCTTCACATAGTTGCATATAATGATTTTCATTGAGAGTGACAGCAATGGTTTCGCGCCAAGTAAATAAGTCAATAACAGACATCTACACATAAATCAAGTTTCCGATTTCCTTGGGCTGATTTCTGTGTTTCCGATATTCGTAGTATAACTATGAATATCGCGTTCAAACATAATGGTTTCGTTAGGCAATGTGAAAAATTTTAAGATTTTTTAAAAATAGGTTACTGAAATATAGGCAATTAAAAGGTGAAAAAATCGCTTTAAAAGCTGTAATTACTTTTTATTTTTTTCCTTATCCAGCGTTGCAATCGCTCCTAGATCTATAAAGCTTAACTTTTAAACTGACGATTAATTGTATAAAGATATAATATTATCATTATATATAGAGAGTAAAACAAGGAAATATGAACATTTTAAAGGAAACGTTGATTTTCTTCA